TGGGGTTAGTAAGATGGTTTCCCTTGCCTAACTTCTAAATTCAGTTCATTGATAGAAATCTTGACCCAATACATAAAACCCCTCCACAACAATATACCAGATGGTAAATAATTCAGCCATACAAGTGTATCTCATATCCAAGCAGTTTTTAAATACAAAACATTGATCCTCAGATAAGTTTTTACATTCTTTATGGTTATTCCTAAACATTTGTTCATCTAATTATACCACTTACTGTGAAAATCATCTAATGATGTCAGAGGAATTGAGCTCCTGTTTCTGTAGAATCAGGAATAGATACCAACTTACCACAGCACAGAGGCATAAGTTGAAACTGAAGATTATTTCCATTCAGGCAAGTATTCTACTGTTTCCATTTTGCTGGCCTTTAAAACATTCGGGACATAGTGTAGGTATAATAGCATAAAGATCATACTACTATAATGATGATCCTAATGCCACAAAACAGGTTAGTTAGATTCTGCCTGAAAATTTAGACAAAACATGATAACCCATATCTGAGACAACCAGTGGGTTAGCCATGCAGCTGTAGTTATTCATCACCCAAAGTACTGCCTCATGCATGTTCCTAAATTGTCTAAATCCTGGTACAGTATTGATTTTCCCTTCTATGAGCTCACATCCACTCAAAAAGCCACAAGAGCCCGTTGCCCTGGCTGAGTTCTCTCTGAAGCAGGATCCAGGTATGTTCTTCCTGACAGGGGTCCTATAGAAGAAACTGATCACTAGCTGGTGGAAAGCAAACCACTGGAGACAGAAAGGGAATTTTATCTTAGAGAAACGTGAAAATGAAAAAGCTAGTTACCAGGAGCATATACATTATAATCTTAATTTAGAAAGAAATACAGAAAGCCCCACCAAACACTCAACAAATGTACATACATACACAGGAACAGAAATAAAATCTAGGAGGGTACGTAGTGCATATATATGAATAATGGTTATTTCTAGATGGTGGTGGTCTTTACTCCTTTTTCTCTGAATTCTCTGAATTTTTTGCAGTGGGCCTGAATTAATTTTGTAATTGGAAAAAATAAAGCTGTTTACTAAGAAGGAAGAAGGAGTAAAACACAACAATTTTACAGCCTAATATAGGGAATATTACTATTTGCCTTCAACACAGGAAGAGTTTTAAAGTTCCTCCAGGATTTTTTAAGGGAGTTGCTTTTCTGTTTACTAAGCATTTAAAAGGCATGGCACTGAAATTTATGAAAAAGATGAGGATAATACTCATAACCCCAAGATGGCAGAATCATTAGGAGTAATCATGAAAAGGCACAAGCAGATCCACAAAAAGAAAACCCTCCAAATGCCATTTGTCAGAGGTTCTGTGCTTCTCATGCTGCAGGAGCCTGCAGGACAGCAAAGGGCAGTCTCTTCCAAAATGTTCCAGTCAACCCCTAAATAGGCACGCTCGGACTTTATAACATTTTAAACAACGCCACTCATTTATCTTTTGCCTGACTTAAGATTTCTCTGAGATAATACATTTACTAAACTGTTAAGAAATGTGCATACATATAAAATATTTATTTGGGTTTGCTGTACGTCAACGGATCTTTTTTTCTCCTCCATTATCCTGAGCCTGAGTCAGGACAAGACAATCTCAGGGCTGGCAGTTCAAAGAAACAGAATTCCTATTGGGGCATAGTATCACTGCCTCTTAGGCCGGTTTAGTCACTTATTTCCTTTATTATAATGCCAAATGTTATTTAGAGTTCAGTCATTTGGTGATGCTGTGCTGAACACATCAGGGCTTCTGAAAAATTCCATACCTAATAGTCCTTTCATTTTCATAATAACCATATATCAATATCCCTTTTCCAACTAAATTACACCACTATTTTAAAAAGAATCTGTGTTTTATCAGAATTTAAGAGATTATGATGCAATGAACAACAGTCTTCAAAAATGTTCCTTCATGTTATTAAGAATTAGGAAATCTTGTTAAAATTCTTTCAGCTTTTAAGAAACATAAGCAGCTTTGTGATGTAGTGCCTGACATGAACTTTTAAAGTAATTCCCTTGGAGCGATTATCTGCATTAGTGAAGATATTTCATTCAAGGTAGCACCCTACACTGCTTTTCAGTATTTGAGCAGTCAATCTAATTGCTTTTTTAAGCCAAAGGTAGAAAATAACCAACACTGCAGACTTTGAAGGTTAAGGTAGCTTAATGTTCTCTACTGGTGAGAGTCACATTCACCATCAAGGAAGAGAGCCTCTTTCTTATGCAAGTGTAGCTAATGAGCCCAAGTTAAGTGATGTGGAAGGCAGAGTTTTCAATCTCACTAGCAAGGATGACTAAAGGAAGGCTGGTGAGGGAAACCTAAGTAAATTTATAGTGTCTGTCAATCACACTTCAATGTTAAATGATAGAGTAACTTTAAAGGAGAGAGTTAACAGTTGAAGGAGATATATATTCTCCTATAATCTAGAAGTAATAATCTGTAAGAACTGTGTTCTATTAGTGTACCTAGGGTTATTTTATGCTTGCTAGGACTTCATAGAAGGCATGGGATTTATGAGAGTTCTTATATTGACATATTTATTTGGGCTTACTGTTGTATTTAGACTCTAGCCTAGGATACTCTAGCAGAACTGGTTTACAGGCTATGGATTTGTTTTTCCTCCCAAAGTCTCACTGTCAACATGCATTTGGGGAGACATCAAGCTCAGTATGAATTGACAGGATGACCTAGCTTCCGAGAAGACCAAACTTAACCTTAGGCTGCATTAAGAGAAGCATAGTAGCCTATCCTGAGAAAGGTGACAGTTCCTCTGCTTTGCACTAATCAGAACATATCTAGAGGGCTGTGCTATTCTCTTCACCATATTTTTACAGGGTTCCCTACAAACGGAAGTACAGCCAGGGCAGGATGACTAGGATGGTGAGGCTCTTAGGAACATGCCATTGAATAAGGGTTGTGGAATTAGCACTGTTTGACCTGGAAAGGAGAAGGATGGCAGGAGGAAGGGGGGATCTGATGTGTCTGACTTCACATATATGAGAAGCTATGATAGGGAAGAAGGAGTAAATCAGAAACGTGGTCCCAGAGGGCAGACCTTGGATCAGTGGGAAGTTGCAGCCAAGTAGCTTTGGGATCCCTGTCAGGAATAACTATGAGAACTACTCAACAAGGGAGTGGGCAGCCTTGCAAGTTCATGAGCTTCCTATTGGGGCAGGATCTAGCAGAGACTGGAAAGGTTACCTGCTGGTTTTGCTGTAGAGTTGGCTGCGTATGTTGGAGGTTGGATAAAAGGATCATGAAGATCCTTTCAAACTTGAGCATTTGTGATTCAAGGAAACAAACTTTTCTAAGACCTTTCCTCATACAAAGGCTTAAAACTTAAATTCTGTCATGCTGTGTGTTTGAGTCATGAGGAAGAGGTTCTCCAATCCAACATCAGGATGAAAGAGTAGAAAACCATTTGCATGTGCTGTTTCTCAAATATGCCCAGATAGGAACATTCTATTGACTAAAAAACAGTCCCAATTATCTCACTGACATATTTGCCCAGTAAAGTCAGTGAGTTATGGTATAAGAATATATCACTTCCCCACCTGAACAAAAATATTTTCATTTTTAAAAGGTAAAGAATAATCTTAAATACTCTCTTTTCTCATGTGTGGGGCTCACTGGAGAAGGATGATCACCAATGCTAAGAATAATGAATGCCCTAGAAACTACAGTTAACTTCACTGAGGAAAATGGATTAAATACTTCCAAGAGTCAAATTTTTTTTTTTTCCTTCTGTGTGAGAAAACATTGTGATTACTTCTAGGCAGGCCAAATAATTTTCTTGGAAGTACGATGAGTTATTTTAACGTTAATCTTAACATAGGTTTTTCTATTTTTCTTGCTAATAAAATGCTTTTGTATTACGAATCTATTTTAAAACAACAGATCAAGTAAAGTACAAGCATCTTTGAAGAGTGAAAAAATAATTTTCCAAGTAAGTAAATACAACTTTGCACTTCAAATCAGGCCTTGATTCATTAAAAAATCTTAAACTTCTCATGAGAAAAATTAACATTTAAACCACTGCTGCTTGGCCAAGCACTCCACCACACAAGAATATGAAATATCTCCTCTAAAAAAGTACAAAAAGGACAAAACCACAAATGTGGAACTTCAATTAATTTAAAGCCCCAATCAGCAAAGAATAAATCCTTCGCAGATCTAATTACCAGCGCTCTCGGAAGACCCAGGCCGACCAGCCAATCTTCCCCGTGTTTGAACAGCTTGATGAACTAGGGGACTGATGGATATCAAGTCATTTTGTTTAATTTATAAATGGATTTTCCCCTAATACTTAAATTATCATCAGTACAACACAATGAAAATGGGAACATTCTGAATGCAAAGTCTATAAGAGTCCTGGAAGGAATCCCAATGAGGAATGTCACCTCTGTTCATTCCTCTATACAATTGATCTAATTAAATACTGAGGGTAGAAAGGCAGTTTAAAATGTAGCCATTTCTGTTTTCTTTTTAGCCTTAATTTATCGTTCACATCTTTCAAGTACCTTCTGATGCTTAAAAAAAAAAATAAACCAAGATTTCTGCAAGTCCCTAATACTTTTAATTCTCCACAAGCTAATATTTGGAATTCCTCTGCCATAGATTTTGCTGAATAATAAATAAATGCATTACATTTAGCCATAGTAACAATAAAATGAAGAGGGTATTCCAAATCGGAAGCTTTTCCCTCTAGTAATTTGAAAGAGAAACTAAAGGAACTAGTACCTTCTACATGTATTGTTCAACTGAAATTAGATCTCTGGATTATACTTATTAAAATGTCTCCTTATTTTCAAATCTCTTCCTTATTTAATTACTGCATGGGACTGGAAGCTGCATGGAATTGTTAAGTACCCTTAGACCTATTTATAGTCTCTTCACATGGGTAACTTGAGCACACTCATTTGGCAAAGGTCCTGCCCACCAACCCACACATTGGGTTTGCAATTCCCACCTGGCTCGGGGGTCTCCGACTGAGAGGAGGAAGATGCTGAGCTGGCTCCATCCTCAGCAGTGCCCTGCGACAGGAGACCCCGCCCAGGGGGGAGCTTCATGCCCAGCTGCTCAGCCATCTCCACGTGGTCTCCGGGGTGGACATAGTCAAAGACACTGCTGCCTGTCAGCTCCACCTAGAGGGGGAGAGAAAGGGTAGAAAGGAAAGGCATTACATAGGCTTCTCCATTTTCAAATTCAACACAGTGATTCAGATTCTGAGTAGAAAAGAAAATACATCCAGGTCCCAGAAACAATCCTGGTTCTGTCTTCATCTTCAAATACTTAAGGATTCTTGAGGTGAAAGAGAAAGATGTTTTCACATGTATTTATTTAGCAATTGTTAAGCTCAGTTTTTTTTTCTTCCTTACACGCTGTTGTTTGCATAAAGCCAAAACATTCTGTGAAATGTGGACGAGTCTGCCTTGTATTCAACTGTTTTATCCACGCATCATCAAATACTTGCATGTTTGGTGTCAACCAGATGATTGACTGAATTCTACAGTTTTCTTATTGAGAAGTTTGAGTTTTGGATAGGAACAGCTATAGAAACAGCCGGAGATAGCAGTCGAGTATTTTCCTTAAAATACACAGATTTCCAAGATGTGTTTTTATACATATCATCTGATTTCCATGTAAATTTAAATGTAAGGAGGGCTGCTTACAAATATATGCAAAGGCATAATGTTTTCATTAAAAATTACTCATTAGCTCTATAATCGTATGAGGGATTTTCCATATAAAAGAGGTCAGCTGGGGTCTGAAGCAGCCATATTTTTTTTTCTGCTGCAATCAGCTTGTTTTGCCTTCAATCTAAAAAGGATACATAGTACAAATCTCCTTGAGGGCTTTTTAAAAAAATGTTTTATTTTGTGTACTCTTTGAATCAGGCTAACTCTAAAGGCAGAGAATGAATATCAAATATCAGAACTGTTTCAGCCTGAAATAGAGGCACTGAGTATTTTAATGCTGTCAGGCATGACCCCTGCATCTGGGTCATGCGCCGCCTGAGGGGGCAGAAATTGCTGGTAAGGACTGGCCTTACCTCTGTACTCCTCTAATGCTCTAAGTTATCTCCTAAGAATAGTGGTAATGCTCCTAACATACAACAGGGAGAGATATGTCAGCAATAGGACAAGCAAAAGCTCTTTCCCAGGTCACTAATGGGTTTCCCGGTCCTCTGGAGTGCAATGGTTTCAGGCCAGCTATGACATACCATGGAAGCTGCCAGAGCTTCAGACTGTCACAAGTTTCTTGGTGGATATTTACCTAGAACCCCTGCCTACCTCATTTCCCTTTCCAGGATAATTTCCAGCATCCTTCCAGATTCCACCTGCATGCCTGCACCCTTTCATGCCAAGAAGGAAGACTGGCGGTGGAAAAACTGTCACAGAGAGTGTAATACTCAGAGCAATTCTTGTCCCCAGAACTCCAAGTCTCAGTAACATGATCACATCTACTCCCAGACTCCATTTGATTAACATCTTAACAGGCTGCAGATCTTCAACATCTACCAATTAACATAGGTATAAGTCAGAAAAACAGGAGGCTAAATTCAGTTTGGTTAATAGCTATTCCTGAAAAAGGCTTGCATAACTTTTACGGAAAATGAGGTATTTTTCTCTTGCTATTAAATTGCACTCTCCTACTGTATCACCCAACCACTGACTATATCATTTTACAATCCCCATTTCCTCCATTTGGTATTGTTACAGAGCGTAAAGGGATTCACAGTGATCAGCTCTTACCCTCTGGGAGGGGGGGATTACATGGAAATAATCCCTTTAATGTGCGCCTTGCCTGTAAGCACTTCACACAGTAATAAATGGGTAAACTGACTTTGAGCAATTAAGAAATTAAATGAAACTAATAAAATGTGTGTTTTAATATTTCTTGATGGTTATTTTGTTTGGAGATTAGTGAATATGAGGAAGTCACTCTCGTTTTGCATGGAGTCCAATTGTAGCACTTTCATAAATATTTCTGTCACTTTTCTCCAACTGATTTTTTTCTTTAATACTTCAGTGTGCCTTTTGGCACCGACCATAGATTGTGATAGGATGACAACACAAATGGGAGATAAAATAGATTTTTTTAGGGGAGCTGGTTATTGAATATTCATGTAAACCAGTCTTATAGAGAGCAGAAACTGGCCACTCTCTCCACATCCTGATTTGCTTGGATGTGCAGATACTTCCTTCCCATAAAATAATGTCTGGAGTATGGCACATCTAGGGCAGGACTGAGTATCGATGTGCCACAGAGCACTAGGGCATGGTGAGGACTTTTTTTCCCTGTGGCCTCATGGGATTTCCCACCAACATACCTCCAACATACCTCAAAGCTTAATGATGAGGGCGAGGTGGGCACTGAGAGTTTGACATTAACATAGTGTTTATATGTATACTGTAGTTAAGGCCGTGCAGTGTGGAGGAAAGCCCCACTACTTGGAGTCATAACCTGACTTCAAGATCAGAATTTTCCTCCTCAGCTGTGTGACCTTGGACAATTAATTTAACCTCCCTGGGCTTCAGTTTCCTCTTCTGAAAATGGCAGCATTGCTGCTCTGCAGGGCCCTAGGAGAACCACCCACATTGTATTCCACATGGATGCTCCCCTGGAGTTTTGTTTCTTGGGAATGGTGCAAGGCTGTGGCCCTGAGAGCTGGGAAGAAAACAAGACTTGGTTTACCTGCCTCTCAGCCTAATTTTGAAAATCCAGTGAAACTATGCAGAAGGAATCACTTTGTGAGAAATAAGCACCACAAACACGTCTTGTTGTTGTTGCTGTTTGGTGGATCAGGATGAATGACATGAAGAAATGTATATTATTGTGTACCTTTGTTTCCTCACTTTGGGACATCACTGTACAGCAGGGGTAATACATGCTTTCAGCCTTAATAACAATACTGGCAGTTACCTACTATGTGCAAAAAGTATTACTTTTTGTGCTTTGCTTTGATTAATCCTCATAACAATCTTTTGAACTGGTATGATCATGTCCCGTTTACAAAAGAACCTGAATACTGGAAAAGGCCAAGGGTGGAAACAGAATTTGGTTCAAAGCCCACTTGACCTATCACCCCTCAGGTAGTAGCACTGGCAGCCAGAGAGACCTCTGAATTCCCCTGTGCTTCAGCTTGCTTTATTCAGGAAAGAACACTGAGCACCATGAAGGGAGGAGGCTGAGGGCAGGCAGACTGCCAATCCCCTGGAGCTGGAGATGTTTTCCCATGGAACTCTTGGGCCAAAACAAGGCACTAAAGGAGGTGTACTAAACCAAAATACAAGTAGGATTAGGCAAAGGTCAACTTACATATGCATCTGAGTCGTCATCATCATTATCATCACATCTTACATGTATCCAACACTTTCAACATTTCTCATACTGCTTTGACTTCATTTCACTTAAATTTTAGAGCCAGAAGACACCTTAAAAACCATCTTTTAGCATCTCCTTACTTAATGGGAAAAAGCCCTACAGTTCTGAGAAGTTCAAATGCATGTTCAAGTTTACCCAGCTGTTTAGTGGTAGAAACAGGGCTGTGAGCCCAACTGTCTAATTCTCAGTCCACCACTTTTCCCACTAAACCCTTGTCTGATTTTTTTTTCTCTCTTATGGATACTCACCAGGTGAGACACACTAGAACTCATGTTTCCTGCCACTAAATTCTGTGCCTCAAAATAGACTACAGACAGCAAGACGGAGAATTTTTTGCTTGATGAACAGACATTACTTCATGTTAGCTTCAGGTTGGAAAAACAAATAGAGCTCCAATCCAATGCTAATTAGGTACCTTTAAATCTTCAGTTACCACCTCTTCCAAAACATGTGCCTGCTGAGAACTAGGACTAGTCTGTTATATTTAGTAGCTATATTACAAATGTTTTGTTGAATGAATAAAGAATGGATATTTACGCCTGAAAAAAATTTTCTTTTACTTGTACTTGATTTGGAAAAGTTTAAGTCGGTTCTTTTATGTTACTATAATGGCATTGTAATGATAACATTATTTACTCCTTAAAATGTATTATAATATAGCATCATAATATATTTATTCACATTAAGTCCTTGAGCTTAACTGAGGATGGGATTGTATGAGTGCCAGGAAGGGACAGGTTTTAAGAAACTCTTTAAGAGAATAGTGTCCATCTTTCATAATCCACTTGTTTCCAATCTATGGCAAAACTCTGTTTAACTGGTTAGTTTCCAGTGTTCACACCCTTATGTCCTCAGGATCTGATCTGTAACATAGTTCCATAAAAAAATTAGTATTTGTTCTTAACTCTCCCTTCAAATCACCAATAGTAGAAATTTAGAGAAATTTCATTTTATGTTAATTATTGGTCCTATTCTCAATCCTTAATTATGATCTAATGGAAAAGTAGAGCTTTCCCCCTCCAATAATGTGTTCTTCTGATTAGTGCAAACGGCATTCTAAGGCAACTGTGAGAACTTCAAAAATCCATGTTCTGTTTATGAAACTCAAGATAACAGACCCATTGATCTTTGAACTGTTTCTCTAGCAGAAGAAGAAGGAAGCATGACTGTTTCCAACTTCACCCACTTGGTCTAACTTTACTCCAGCTGAATAACTCTAGAAGAGAACTTACTCTCTCACGTTGCTTAGTGTACTACAAAACAGCTGAGAATGCATCAGGGGCAGCAGATAGGCAACAAGTAATAAATAATCACATCCAGAAACAGCATTTTGTTTAAACTCTTTTTTTCCTGCCTTTTGCCCAGTGTTACCATAGATTCCTCCAGGACAAGCCATAGTCACTTGTGCCATCCAGCATATCCTATAGTCAAGCTAAACCACATAGCCTTTGTCAAATTTATTTCACATTCTGTTAGCTTGCATGTAATTTGCACACTAGACACAGCTGATTTGGTAACTCTGAAGTTTCCTGGAAAAAAATGTAAATATATTATACAGTGGTTTGAGTTGACTTTTCCATGTCAGGTCACTGTACCCTGCTGGTAGATAGGATGGGGGACTAATTTGTCTTTTCATACATCAAGCAAGCATGTCAATAGCCTTTGCTTGGTCCCCTGGAGTGAGCAATACTTTTTAACCAGAGTGATGTACTAACAGTGCAACTCATTGAATTCAGTGCTTCTTTGATTGAAGGGG